GGTACATGCCCTTGACTGGAATCGAACCCGGGACCCTTCAGTCCGCAGGCCGACGCTCTATCCACTGAGCCAAACCGGTCAGGGCTCCACGTAAATTTTAGAGTCAGTTTGTTAATATCTGCACCACGTCTTGCTGGGATGGATTTTCACTGGGATGGCACTGAATCTATACATCAAGTTAGGAAGAACTACCATCTTGGCATAATGCATGAGGCTTCCTATTAATGAACATGGACTGTCTCTCCATTTATTTAGTTTTTCTTTGATATCTTTCATCATAGTTTTATAGCTTTCTTTATGTACATATTTTGTTGGGTTTATATTTAACTACTAGTGGCCTGGTGCACGAAATTCGTGCATGGGGTTGGGGGTTGTCCCTCAGCCCGGCCTGCACCCTCTCCAATCTGGGACTCCTCAGGTGACATCCCTCTCACAATCCGGGATCACGGGCTCCTAACCGCTCACCTGCCTGCCTGCCTGATCGCCCCTAACCACTCTGTCTGCCTGCCTGCTTGCCCCCAACTGCCCCTCCCCCGCCGGCCTTCTCGCCCCCAACTGCACCCACGGCCGGCCTGATCACCCCCAGATTGCCCCCAACTGCCCCCCCTGCCAGCCTGCTTGCCCCCAACTGCCCTCCCCTCCTGGCCTGATTGCCCCTAACTGCCTCTGCCTCAGCCCCACCACCATGGCTTTGTTCAGAAGGACATCTGGAAGGTCTCCTGGTCTAATTAGCATATTACCCTTTTATTAGTATAGATTGTACATATTTTGTTGGATTTATATTTACCTATTTAATGTTAGGGGTACTAATGTAAATGGTATTATGTTTTTAATTTCAAATTCTAGTTGGTCATTGCTGGTATATAGGTAAGCGATTGACTTTTGTACAGGGTGGGACAAGAGTAGGTTTACAGGTTTACAGTTATGAGTACACAAAACAATTTTCCATACGAGCAACTGTAAGCCTACTTTTGCCCTACCCTGTATATTAATCTTGCTAAGATATCCTGAAAACTTACTATAATGATTAGTCCCAGAGGGTTTTATTTGGCAGTTCTGTTGGATTTTCTACATGGACAATCATGTAATCTGCAAACAAAAATACTTTTGTTTCCTTCTTACTAATTTAGTACCCTTTTTTAAAAATTTAAATTCTTTATTGTTGAAAGTATTTACGTATGTCCCCTTCTCTCCCCATTGACCTCTCCCTGGCCATTCTCCCCCTCCCCCAGCACATGTCCCTGCCCCCTACAGTTTGTGTCCTTTGGTTACGCTTATATGCATGCTTTATTTCCTTTTTTTTTGGGGGGGGGGGGGTCTTATTACATTAGCTTTGACTTCCAGCATAATGTTGAAAAGGAGTGGTGAGAGAGGACATTCTTTTTTTTTTTTAATATATATTTTATTGATTTTTTACAGAGAGGAAGGGAGAGGGATAGTCAGAAACATCAATGAGAGAGATACATCAATCAGCTGCCTCCTGCACACCCCCCACTGGGGATGTGCCTGCAACCAATGTACATGCCCTTGACCAGAATCGAACCTGGGAACTTTCAGTCCGCAGGCCGACACTCTATCCACTGAGCCAAACCGGTTTGGCGGGAGAGAGGACATTCTTGCCTTGTTGCTGATCTTAACAAGAAAGCTTTGCATTGCTCACCATTAAGTACAATGTTTGCTGTACATTTCTGTAGTTGTTCTTTATTAAGTTGAGGACATTCTCTTCTATCGCTAGCTTGCTCAGTTTTTTAAAATCATGAATGAGTGTTGAATTTTATAAAATGCTTTTTCTGTGCCTCTGGATATGATACTGTGTTTTTTCTTCTATAGCCTGTTGTAGCTTTTAGTACAATTTCTTCCTCTAATGTTTGGTTGAATTCACCAGTGAGCCCGTATGAGCCTGGTGCCGTCTGTTGTACAAAGTTATTTACTATTGATTCCGCTTTACATATAGGCTTATTTGGATTACCTATTTCTTCTGGGTGAACTTTGGCAGTTTGCATCTGTTATGTCACTCCCAGTTTATGGGTAGTGATGCGCTCAGTTAGGAATGCCTGAGGCACGCCTCTGAGCCCATATGACTCATAATAAGCCCCCAGGAACATTTTTCCCACCAGGCCCAATACTGTGGCTGGACTGGCACTTATGTCTTATTATGGTCACAGGATACAGTTCAGCAAAAATCATCAGGGAATTTTGAGAAACAAGAGATCTTACTCACAATCCCTGGACTGTACATGGCATACGCAAAGTCCACACAGCAAGGTCACAGGTAGAAAGCATGGGCCTGGGGCTCTTTACTAGGTTCCAAGGGTGGGGTGCCAGCCCAGGGGTCAGAGGCAACCCCCATGCTGTTTGGTGGGGCAACAGGGAGTACACCGTATGAACTGTGAGCGATGACACTGCAGAAGTACCTTAACATTTGTGCTGTCAGCCAAGGGCTGAATGTCAGAGTGATATCCAAGGAGCTCCAGGGAGCAGGATGTCCAAAGTCCGAGGTATCAGAGCAGTCACCCATCTGCAGAACCCGTTCACTCTGCCTCTCCCCTTCGTCCCCTTCACCTGCCTGCTTCTGGAATACCTGCCACTGCTTGTCTTCTTGAAGAGCCATCTGCACCTGCCCGGTGGGGTCTGCCCTCACGGTGCTCGCACCTGGCTCCAGGCCCTGAGGCCTCCACACGCATCCCTGCAGGTGGGCCTGAGTCTGTGCCTCACCTCAATTGATGTTTTAAAATACTTTTTATTGATTTTTTCTTTTCAGAGATAAAGAAAGAGGGGGGCGGGGAGGAGCTGCCTCCTGCACGCCCCCTACCAGGGATGGAGCTGCAACCAGGACATGTGCCCCAACTGGGAATCAAACCGGCAACCTTTCGGTGCACAGAGGATGCCCAACCTGGCCACACCAGCCAGGGCTGGACTGTTTTCAATGCAGGAAATGTGTCCAAAGCAGATGTAGTTGTCACCTCCATGCTCTATCTCTGAAGGACTCTCACCGCCAGGGGATGTGTCCCGCAGCACGGCTGCTGTCACACCATGGATTAGCACTCAGAGGAAGACGGCTCAAGGGGGCCCCCTTGGGCCCTCTGCTCTGTTCACTTCTCTTACCTGCTGCCCTGACACAGCAGAGCCGCACCCCAGGGGTGCCATGGCTCTTCTCAGGCCCCTGGGTTGTCGGCAACGCCCTCCCTGCTCACTTCCACACTGACCTCTGACCACTGCAAGTCCAGCCCATACGCCTCTCCCAAGAGGCCTTGAAGACCACAGTCAGCATTTAACTGGCTCTCCCGGTCAACCCTGTTTTGACTTCTGAGCGAGTCCCTTCTGCACCATTCATTCATGAGTCTGCTACACCAGATGACGGGTTCCTAGAGGCAGGAACTATCTTCTTCACTTCTACACACCCCTCACCTCTGGTTTGAGCATAATCAACGATGCATTACTGTTTGATTTTATATCTGTTCCTTAAATAAATGAGGCAAGTTTCTTTCCTGACCTCCCATGAAAGATTTGCTCTAATAGCTGCTACTCACATCTTAATCTTCTACTGTGTAAGTGTGTAGCTACCTGGTATGTGACATTCTCCTTTTTGATTCCTTTAGGCCTGAGTAAAGTTCCATGACACGTGTAGTGCGATGCTTCAAGCTGTGTGAACCGAGGAAGCTGACTTGCTGCGAGGCTGCTCTCCGCACCCTCAGCAAAGCTCTAGACACCACAGAAGAGGATGGCCCTGCCATCAGAGGTTTAGGAGATGGAATTCTGGCCCCTGAGACAAGGACACCACTGGTGGTGCGGACAGGTTGCAGCACGTGTGAGGAGTGTGGGGACTTGCAACAGGAAGAGCTGGGGCGTGGTGTGGTTGTGGAAGTTTCAGGCGAGAGCTCCAGGTGTAACACCTGACCACCCAGATGAAGTGCTTGGGCGACATCTGACACAAGGCACTCGCGGGCAGCTAGTACTGCTCGGGTTTGTTGGTGTTAAGGTGGCCGACACACCCTTCTCCCATCTGTCTTTAGAATTCTCAGGGCTGGAAGCTCAATTCTCCAAGCATGTCAGTCTCGTAGGAATAGAATCAAACCTTTAGACACGGTTTTAAATTCAAGATGATGATGTCACCACCGGGCTGGTCAGCAAGCACACGTTTTCCCTTTGGCAGACATATCTACAATAGGATTCACTCTACACACTCGTCACACACACACACACACACACACACACACACACACACACACGAAATGCTGAGAGGAGGCAGGCCTGTGTGGGGGGGGTGGGGGGTGGGGGGTATGGTTCGGGTTGGTTCAATGTTGGTATCTGGGAGGCAGGTGGTCTGCAGCTCCCAGGTGCAGGGGTTTGAAGGGATGGAGACAAATGTGCTGAGCCTTCTGCAAGTCTGGACGAAAAGGAGAGTCAGGACGGGGTTGAGAGAGGGCTTTGTGAGTTCAGTATGGGGCAGATTGAAGCAAGTTTACAGACGCAGACACAAGAGGTGCGGGTGAAGACACAGGTGAGTAAAAGCTAAAGAAGCCAAGTCCTGGAGCTGGAGGAGGGTGGGCCCAGGTAGGTATTGAGGAAGGAGGGTGGGCCCTGGTGGGGGTGAAGGTGGAGCTGTCCATGGCTTCATGGTGACCTGATGACTTAGGACTCTCCAAGGAGCATTCTCCACAGGCAGAGTCTTCTAAAGGCATTCCCTCTTGTCATTAAGTGTGCACCTTTATTTATTTATATATTTTTAATATATTTTTATTTATTTCAGAGAGGAAGGGAGAGGGAGAGAGACAGAAACATCAGTGATGAGAGAGGATCATGACCGACTGCTTCCTGCACGTCCCACACAGGGGATGGAGCCCACAACCAGGGCATGTGCCCTGACTGGGAATCGAACTGTGACCTGGTTTATAGGTCGCTGTGCAACCACTGAGCCATGCTGGCCTGGCAGTGTGCATCTTTATTTACTTCATTCTCAGAGTGATGTGAACTCCACGTTTTGTTGAAAACTTTATGTCAGCACATCAAATAGGTTTCATTCAGTTCAACAAAATGTAATGAACTTCTGGCTCTGCTGGGATGCCGGAGATTCAAAACAAAGTAAAATGTATCCCGAGGCCTTCAGCATGTTCCAGCTTGCGGGATGGAATAAGACAGTGTTACAGACGGGGTAGGAAGGCCTCAGCACCATCACATGAGTGGGCCAAGCCAGGATGCCTAGCACACTGCTGTGTATACACTCAATGACTCAAAGGGAATGGGCAGGACCATCTGTATAATTTAGAAATGAATATGACCAATGCTGTTTTCTAAAAATAAGCACGTTTATGTCATTTCTCCATGGACTGACTTCAGACTAGATGTAATTTACTTCATTTTAAAGTGTTTTAATTTATATTACTGGAATCCATAATTTATATCTGCAATACATAATTCCACCTAACAGACTGTCCAAGTATTTTGGTCAAATACTTAGGCTCTTAAAGCCAATATTTATAGGAAAACTGTAGCTAGGGAATCTTTAAAAGGATCAGATAGTCATCTGTGTGGTTTTCTAAAATGGGGCACATAATCACCAAAATACACTTTTAAAATTGAAAGTTAAAACTTAGGCTTAGCACTACATTACTTTGGTCTCTTGGAGAATAGTGTGGTAATATACAAATCACAGCAACAACAAATTGATAAAGATTAATAAAACACAAAAATCTTATTAAAATAATTTTCAATGTTTCAATTAGTTATATTTTGATCATAAAGGATCTTTATTAAAGAATGCCAAAACCAAATATTTTAAAAGAATTATATAACCTAATAAAAACTGACATGAAATTGTTTTATTTAAAATTGTTATAATAAAAAACAAATAGACATTTGTAAGATATTTATCTCATTTTAGAAAACATAGGCTTTAAGGATTAAAAGTAACTTTTCAAACTCATTGCCAGAATTAAAATTTCACATCACAGAAATGTTTTAATAACAAATACTGACCAACAGATTACAACACCAAAGTTGTACAATAAATAAAAAAGCTTTCTAAATTTTTTTTACCAAGATATCATGAATTGATAAAATAACAATAGAAAGTTAACATTAATTTCCGAAAAAAAGGCACATCCAGGCAAAATAGTCAAGGCGACTTATAAAATGCAGCGTAATGTTTATATTGTGCATGATCAATTGAACGCAATAAATTACTCTGGAAGATTCTAAAATATGGCAGTAATAGATTGTAAAGCTGGGCAAAAAAGACACCCCCCTCCTTAATAGCGTATTTTGTTCCCCAAAGTGCAGTTCAGAACTGTCTGAATGTCATGCTTCCCTGCACACAGGTTTTGCTTTGCAAAGTTGTTTATCATCTTGGTGCCTCAGAGACTTGCCCGCCGGTCTGGCCGTGGCACGCACTTCGTAATTGCGGCTCTCCACAGCACTGGGGCCAGTAAGAGACTGAGCGTGGTCACACTCAGGATCAGGAGGTACACCTGCAACAGGTAAAACTGAGCGTCATCTCAGGATTAAGAGGTGCACCTGTAACAGGTAAGTCTGGGTGTGTCTCCCTCAGGATTACTATGTCCACCTCAAACCACAGATATACTCTCAGGTACACCCCCATACAGACACAGGTACCTCAACATTTGGATGTGAGGTGGACTGAGGTTAGACCATCAGTGGAAACCTGTCAGGTCGATGCATCACTGGTGCACACACTGGAGTCTGTGCAATCGGAGTCACCCCTTGGGCTCAGTAGGCAGTCAGACTGACCCCTTGGGGGTCACTTGGAGTGAGGACACAGGCTCAGGGCAGGTCTCAGATGGAGCTCATGCACAAACTCCATTCTTCAGCAATGGTTTTAAGTGCTCTTTAATAGTAGGACTTACTTTCCTCACACTTATGGATACAAGGAGACAACCACGTAATTTTGAATGCCTATACCAGCATTTCGCATGTAATTAGAGCTGCTTTTATATTCATTCAGTCCACATGTATGAGGGAGCAGGTGTGCAGATCCAAATATTCAGTGTCACGCGGCTGGGTGGACTTTACTGACACCATCACAACTTAGGGAGGGACGCTGTATGGCGGGGCAGTCAGGAGGCCCTCTTGCTGTGGCCCCTGCCCTGTGGAGGGGAATGAGAGCAGGGCAAACCCCTTCAGGCCCAGAAGTTCAACTGTGCTGACGTAGACATCACAAGTGGCAAAGAGTGACACTCAGATTGCAGAAGAGGGCTATAGAGTCAAAAATGATTTTAAATAGAAGTTACTATTAGGAACTTGTGTGTCTGCAAATCCATGACTTAAAAACATCCTGAAGTTAACTGTTTCTACCCTGGGAAACACAAAAACAGTTGATTTCCACAGTCTACATCAGAGGTCCTCAAACTTTTTAAACAGGGGGCCAGTTAACTGTCCCTCAGACATTCCACACATGCGCACTGCGGGCCCGGGACGAGTCGGCTGCTAAGCAGGACAGGCAGCGGCGGCAAAAACACCTGGCGGGCCAGATAAATGTTTTCAGCGGGCCGCATGTGGCCCGCGGGCCGTAGTTTGAGGACCCCTGGTCTACATAGTACACAGTTTTCCAGCCCATCACACATGTGATTTCTTAGTGAACTAGCAGTTCAAAAGCAGGGAGTTCAAATTCCTATACTATTACCCAACATTTTATACATTCAACAACAACAAAACTCCCTTTGATGTCCATCTTGTTTTCACTGAAACAGTAATGCTCTGTTTGTAGTTATCAAATACTTTCCATAGTTACAGCATCCATTTGCCCTTAGATCACTCAGGGCTAATACTCAACTCAGTTGTCTGGTCCTGGAAGCATATTCAGGTTTTAAACATTACACTTTTAACACCAGGAAGCACAGAGTGCGGCATATTTACCCATGGGGTTGGGAGTCCTTTTTTCACTTTAGAGCCACACCCCATCACCCATCACAGAAAAAAACCTCCTTCTTATCAAATTTAGTGACAATCATGGATCATCAGATGATACTTATCAAATTCTAGTTCATAGACAGTTTAAAAAAGGGCAAATAATAAAGTTGAAAAAAGTAGAAATGGGCAAAAATGCAGAGGAAAAATGTAAGTGCAAATGGAAGGTGGACACACACTCATGCGCACACGATGCTCACACATCAGCAAGAGGAGTGTCTAACGGGACAGTGACGAAGCACCTGCCCGACCAGAACACTTGCAGGGAGTGGGTGGAGACTCACCTCCCGAGAAATGATGCCAGCTCTGCGCGCTCTGCTCCCCAGGACAAAAGAGAACTCGCTGACCTGGGCCAGCCCCGCGGCCACGATCCACTTGATGTACTGGCTGGTTTTCGGCAGGAGGAGAGACAAGACCAGTGCTGCCAGAACAAACTGCGAGAGTGCCCGTGTTACTGCTTAGTCAGAGCCCCGGTGGCCAAGCACCCAGGACAGAGAGGACACAAACGCCGGGGCAGCCCTCGAATAACACACAGAGGGGACATACAGAGAGGCACTTCTATGCTGAAGGCACCAAATAAACACAAAATGTCTGATATAAAACCACACAGAACACCAAGGCCAAATCCAGGGTTTAGGTTCCTTTGCAGAAATCAAAACCTACTCCCCCCCCCCACCCCGAACTAAATGAACAGCATTAAATATTATACAGCGTTCAAATGGAAATTTTATTTTTAATAAGAGAGAATGTATTTCTCTCATGTAAGCAATCTCCAGAGGGGGGTGAGCAGCCTGGAGCTAGTAGGGCAGCTAGACCATCATCGGGGATTCTGGCTCCTTCCAGTGGAAATATTTTAAGTCCATTTCTATAATCCACAAAGCCAGATAGCTACAGAGCAGGTCAGGACATTAAAAGTTAATACAGGGAACGCAATGATTTGTGCTCTTGGAGGACAGACAAGGAGAGTGGTGAAATAATTCTCCTGACTTCACTGGAGGACCCAGAGAGCTATTTCTCCCATTCCAGCTTTCTAACTCCCAGATTCAAACATACTCAATTCTGAGACAAACAAAGGAAAACACATCCAAACCACCTGTATCCTAACCCAGACCTTCCCCAGGCGGTGGGGTGGCAGGAGGGGGAGGAGGGGCATCACAGACAGGTGTTCCAGGTAAGTGGCCCTGCCGGGGGCTCACAGACTCGGCATCGCTGTGGGCAGGCACTCAGGCCCAGGAGGAAGTATGTGCGAGTGTGACATGTAAACGCCAAGATAACCGGATGTTACCCATCACGAATGACTGAGAGGCTCGGTACCTTCATGATCACCACCGCCAACGTGAGGACCATCAGGATGGTGAGCTCGTACACCACGAAAGTGGGAAACACGTGGAGGCCTGTGAGGAAGAGGACGGGCACGGGAATTCTTTCAGGATCACACAGCCCATCTCCGAACAAGTTCACACCTGCTTCTCACTGATAAACCTATTAACTCTCAAGCTCCTCAGACGTGTTTCAATAGAGGGAAGAATTCTTGTAAGCACCATCCTGTTGTGCTGTTTGTTTATGCGGAGAGCAACGCTGACACCAAACTGACTGGAGCCAGTACTTAGTGACATTAACAAAGCAGAGTGAGATGAAGTCCATGTTACAATGTCTTTGCCACATATAACTGTGACAGGAGGGCAAGCAAGCTATGTTATAGTTTTTCTCCTTAAAGCCACTCATTCTTGCAACAAACACCAAATGTATACCTGGACTAGCGTAACAGTAAACAGTACAGGCTCTGGGCTAAAATCCCGGGCCTACCACTAACCAACTGTAGATGCTGGCATTCCTCTTAACCTCTCTCTGCCTCAGCTTCCTCATCTGTAGTTGTGGATTTGGGCAGTGAGTGAACACAGCATGACAGGTAAAGCAGGTACCCGTGTTTATAAACAATTGTCCTCATGGTCACTGCGTACACACACCAGGCCCACAGATTGGAAAGTGAGCAAGGATCCAGGGTTGCAAGGTGCTAGGTAGCACTGACATGTGACAACTGCCTCAGGGCACCTCCAAGAACCACATGACCAGCGCTCTCCCACTTGAGCACGAAAAGCCCCCCTTCACTCTGGGCCTAAGACTGCCCTTCGTTGTGATGTTCTGAGGAGGCCTCTCCTCAGGAGCTCAGCCTGAACCCCTCACTCCCACTTGCTGGTGGCAGTGACCCCAGGACCACTCTTATCACCCAGAACCGAATGTGGCTCATGGGCGCTGGATGGTGCAGCTGGGTGCAGGTCATCTTTGTGGTTCTGACAGGGCCTGGCTGGGGCAGGAGGTCGATGAATGTTTGCTAAGAACAGGACCCCACCATTCATTTACATGTCATCGAGGGCTACGTATGCAGAAAAGCAAAGGTGTCTTCTTAAACAGATGCTATTAACTTGTTGCTTAGAACCCTGGAACAAAAAAATTATGTCCCTGAGCAGTCAGAGAATAAAAACCTGATTGTACATGTGTTTCTCAGTTGGCAGGGAAATTAACCCGAATTCCTTTTGATATATAGAGTGTGAATAACCAAAGCAAAAATATGTACAGTGGTTATTGTTACAAAGCATGGCTCTTAATAAATCAAGAATCCCAATTTGAGAAATATTAGAGCAAATAGGTCTGTTTTAAATAACATGTTTGTGAAGTTTTAGTTTTTTTAATAAGCGAGCATTCAGGAAGCTGAGCAGGCAGGACACAGGGTGGAACAACTAGTCAGGGTGACCTGGGGCGGGGAGGGGGGGCTCTTAGGAATGGGATGCAGGACTGGATAGTGGTGAGAATAGTGTTACAATTTAATCAATTTTATTAGGCCTTGTCTGAAAAAGAACTGGCAGAAAAGAAGTGAATCATCAACCAGGAATGGAAGTTCAAGGAATCAGAATCGGCAGCTTACTTAGCATGTTGAGGAAGTGTTTCCAGCAGTGGAGTGAAAGGGAAGGAAGAGGCAGAAGAGAGGGCCAAGGAGAGAAAATGAGGGGAGAAGGGGAGACAGAGAGACACACATGAGTGGGGGCAGAGAGGATGAGGAGAGAAGGGGCAGAGAGGACGGGGCAAATATCTGTCGAGCGGGACTTTCTCAGGGACACATCCGATTACTAACACTGCTCAAGAATGCTCTTATTTCACCTCTTTATTTCTTTTTCTTTTTTAAAAATATATTTATACTAGAGGACTGGTGCACAACATTCGTGCACTGGGGGGTGTGAGGGTCCCTCAGCCCGACCTGCACCCTCTCCAATCTGGGAGCCCTCAGGGGAGCCCTCTCCAATCCGGGAGTTTCTGTCTGTCTTTGCAATCATATGAGCGAATTGTCTGAGACCCCAACTCAGTTTGGTTTGTTGCTCACAGAATAATAGAGGCATTTTTTTTTTCTTTGCTTCATTGGCGGAGATTTCCTGGAAGTTTTAGGATATCTTCCCTTTAATTTTTCCTAGACACTCTGATTTTACTTATGTCTCTCACCTTTGCTTTCCCTCCATCCCCCACTACAACAGTAACTTGCTCCAGGTTCACTTTGCTCTAGTGTCTAGGACAGTGGTTCTCAACCTTCCTAATGCCACGACCCTTTAATACAGTTCCTCATGTTGTGGTGACCCCCAATTTCATTGTTACAAATTGAACATAATTAAAACATAGTGATTAATCACAAAAACAATATGTAATTATATATGTGTTTTCCGATGGTCTTAGGCAACCCCTGTGAAAGGATTGTTCGCCCCCAAAGGGTCGCGACCCACAGGTTGAGAACCACTGGTCTAGAAGATCCGTCTGCCACCAGAACTACGATTCCCAGCATTCCGGGTGCTCCCTGCGCTCTGGGCTTCTGCTTCTGGTCCTGGGGCTGCCACCAGAACTACTATTCCCAGAATTCCTGGTGCTCTCCACGCTCTTGGTTTTCCCTTCCTGCTCTGTCTCCGTCCCATGGCCTCCCACTCTGCCAAGTCCTTCAAGCTGCCAGCTCTCCCTCTCTGCTCTCTGTCTGGTGGCTTGGGAGCAAAGTTCCCCAAGCTGCTCCACTTTCCACCAGCTCTCCCGCTCTGCTCTCTGCCTGGCAGCTTGGGGGAGCGACTGAGGGAGCCACGTCCCCCAAGCTTCTGGCTCTCCCGCTCTGATCTTTGCCCGGCGCCTGTGTATGCAAATTAACTGGCCATCTTTGTTGGGTTAATTTGCATACTCACTCCTGATTGGCTGGTGAGCATAGCGGAGGGATGGTCAATTTACATGTTTCTCTTTTATTATATAGGAGCATTGATTTCAGAGAGGAAGGAGAGGGTAAGAGAGATAGAAACATCAATGTTGAGAGAGAATCACTGACTGGCTGCCTCCGGGACACCCCACACAGGGGATCGAGCCCGCAACCCAGGCTTGTGCCCCGACCAGGAATCAAACTGACCTCCTGGTCCATAGGTCGATGCTCAACCCCTGAGCCCACTGGCTTGGCTTATTTCACCTCTTTCAAGTGTGACCCGCCCACCTGTGTTTCCTTTGAGAACTGTCTTGGCTCTGCAGAGCCTTTCACATTTCCATTTAAATTTTAGAATCTGCTTTTCCATGTTCTGAAAGTCTTGCTGGGATCACACAGAACTTGTTGACCAGTGGAGAGTGTGTGGACTTTCCAGGCCGTAAGAGGGCGAGAACAAGGAGGTGCCAAGCGGAAATGCTGTAACACAGAGGCTGGGATTCTGTATTGCCGGTCCTCTCCAGGACTGGCCACTAAGATACTGACACAGGGAAATCTCCAGAGCAGCACGCGCACTGCCAATTTACCTTTTTTTGTATCAAAATTAATATTTCCTCCCAAGCTTCCCATTTTGATGCACTGACGTTAAGCTGCTAACCTGCTGAGCACCGGGGCCCTTCCTATGGAGTCAAAACGAGAGTCCTCTTCCCCGAGGACATCTGAGTCTTTACACTCCTTCCTACACGTGCATCTTAGCATTGACGGGCATGGCAACCAACCAGCAAATTAACATCCCTTAGTTCAAACTTTCCCTCTTTTTAAATAAGATTTCTCCTCAGACTCTAATTTTTATGGGAACTGTTTCCACTGTCTAGTCTACAAATAAAAATACGTAAAGAGATTACAGAGGTAATCTGCAAGTGTCTAGCAAACACAATTCAAACATTCCGATATAAAGCAGAAAGTTACCTATGGAGGCAAAGAAAATGATCGCCAGGAAGTCGCGAATCGGCTCGATGTAAGACACAATCTCCTCGGTGACCATGTGGCCTTGGGAAGAGATGAGCGCTCCGGCCAGGAAGCAGCCCAGCTCCATGGAGACATCCAGCAGCTCTGTGACCTGGGGAGGAGGGAAGGACACGTCACACACACAGTGCCACCAGTTACCAACGGCTTCTGCCCAAGTAGGATTCACACCCAAACACAGCCTGTTAGGTCTAGCAGAACCATCACAATAAAGCTGTGAAAATCAAATCTCGCTGTACATCTGTGAAATCCCCAGTGGAGCCTCTGTGGGGATGACCGAGAGACGACACGAGGAAGCTAATATGAGTTGAATTAACCATACAGGGAGAAAAAAATTAATTTAAAACATTTGAAACAATTCACATAGATAGCTGTGAAATTTTTGAATTAAAGTATTTTCCAAACTTTATTTTAAATATTTGTGATACATTTTCTTTACTTTGAATCAAGGAAGAGCCTGACTATGGCTTAAAAACTGTATTGTAGCCCTAGCCAGTTTGGCTCAGTGGATAGAGCGTTGGCCCTCGGACCGAAGGGTCCCAGGTTTGATTCGGGTCAAGGGCATGAACCTTGCTCACAGGCTCGATCCCTGGCTTTAGTCAGGGTACCTGTAGGATGCAACCAATGATGTCTCTCAAAGCAATGTTTCTCTCTCTCCTTCCCACTCTCTCTAAAAATCAATGGAGGAGGATTAACAACAATGAAAGTATTGTAGTCCTGGCCAGTGTGGCTCAGTAGGTTGGAACATCATCCCATGCACCAGAGGCTGGGGTTGGATTCCCAGCCAGGGTACACACCTAGGTTGCACGTTTGATCCCTGGTCTGGGCGCATATGGGAGGCAACTGATCAATGTGTCTCTCTCACATCGATGTTTCTTTTCTCTTTCTCTCATTTTTTTCTCTCTCAATTCAATAAAAAAATTTAGAAAAATGTTTTGTATAAAAAACTATTCCCATCACCAACAAACTGCTTAGAGAAAGCAGACACAGCTAATAAGCAATTACCTGGGATGGCAGGAAACCAGAGGGAAGCACCAGCGAATGTAGACATGACTAGATTCAATAATGCCAGATTCAGACAGAATAGTTATGGATCATTAGGCTTCTACCGATATAGTTCTGTTAAATGCACAGTTTCAGACTTCTTTATGTGACATTACTGATGCAAAACAACTAGAAAGATGCCTTTTTAATTAGAGACAGTAAAACTACAAACGATAGCAGCGACAGACACATGGGGGGAAAATGAACTTCTGAAGAAATACCATTACAGTAACATCAAAACTCATCAAACACCTCGGAACAAATAAAAGAAGTGCACAACTTCCGCACCAAACACTACAAAATGCTGCTGAGAAACACGGATGAGGACCTCAGTAAACAGAGGGTGTGTGCCCCACTCAGGAGGAAAATGTCACTTTCCCTCAACTGGCCTACAGGCCCACTGGAATCACAACAGAACTTGTTGTGTGTGAAAAGTGACAAGTTGAATCTAAAAACGTACATGGACACTGGAAAGACCACAAATACAGGGTGGGAATAAAGTAGGTTTACAGTTGTGAGTATGAAAAATACAGAGTTTATTCTTGTGTTATTATTTATTAACTAGAGGCCCGGTGCACAAAAATTTGTGCACTTGGG